TTAGCAATACACCAGGTTAGGATTCTGATTAACAAACATTACAAGCAATTTATTCTTTTTAACAGTACCTGTGCAGCGCTGTTATATTGTTTATTTATGTTTTAATTACTTTATTCCCACTACTTTATCGTCTTTTTATGCCCTTCAGAGGAAGACACTGTATTGGCATCCATTATTTAGGAGTGCCAAGTTCAACATGAGCATGGACTTTCATTCATAAAGTGTTTCTGCAAAAATTCAACACAAGTCTGCATTTTTGGAAGAAACTACTTCTGGGAAATTCCCCAAATCCATAAACGGGAAGCTACATTTGAATTTGTCCTGCAAGACTTTGGGCTTCGCTGTAACAGCTTAACTTTAAAAATATGTGTGTTTTTTAATGTTATTTATTTCCTGTGAATTTGAATCCACAAGCCTCTTTTGCCAAACGCCACATAAAATCATAAATAATAGCACATTGTAAGTAATCTGAAATTAAAATACAGTGTGTATTTACAAGTAGATTTGCTGTATTTGTTTTGTAGTTGTATACAATTTGAACTATGATTTAAATGTACTAATAACATTTCATAAATAATCGATATGTAGATTTATAAAATATATTCAAACGTGTGTTAGACATTTGTTCCTTAAAGAATTATAAATAAATAACACTTATTTATATACAAAGATCCTGACAAGTAAACTGGCATATTACGTTGCAAGGTCTGACATATATTTACACAATCATGCAGGCGTGTATAATTATTCAAATGTATTATTTTAAATATAAGGAATAACTGATGACATTGATGTGTTTTTGAGTTCAGGTTTAAAGGCCTCAGTTTCACAATCAATATACCATCTATCATCCGAGGTACGGAATCTTTCAAAAGTACTTACCTATCCAGTTTTTAGACCTTGCAGATCTCTCGTCCAGATAACACACACTTTCCCCTCTTTATGATCCAGTTATCGATCAACATTCACGCAGCTGTCACTCCTGCAGGACGCTCACGACTTGATGGACTCAGATACAGGTGAAGGGTAGTTTAATCCAAAGGCCTTGACCATCATCCTTTATATCTATGGATAGACTTGAGATTATTTATTGATAGATTGCATATATGTGTACATCCATATTTCTTTATTGATAGACTGTACGTTCACTCATGGGTCCGGCTTGATATTCTTCCTCTTTTCATCTTGGTTGAGTTCTGAAGTCTGACCTATTTAATGATGTTTCTTTTTCATATCTGTTGTTGCCATGAAACCTGAATGTCCTTCTAGGCGTTGATTAAGGTTTATATTTTCTTATCTCATTGTATAAAACCTTTGCGTGAGGCAGATTAACACACTGCACTGCAGGCAACCCAGAGATGATCTTTCGTACTATGTTACAGTGAGATCCCTGCTCTATGCTTTAAATGTTCAAATAACTGATAAATATATTTTCAATTTGGAGGGATGTTTACTTATTACGCTGTATTTTAACCTATTTGTAACCATTCATTCATACTTTTTAGTTTAAATGCATTGACTTGATTTATAACATTTATTGTGTTGTCATTTTAAGTCTTTTAGGTATTCCTTTTTTAAAGGATAAAGTTGTAGATAGGAGAGCCCTTAAGTAAAAAGAAAACATTCTCCTTATTGTAACGGGAGACATATCAGCTTATTTTATACAACTCAGTGTTATATTTTTTGCACGTTTTCATGAGAACCATCCCTCACTTAACCCTTTATCTTTTTGCATAGATGTTTGGGCACTTGTTCAACCAAAACCCGGTCGTCTGGCAGATGCACTCTGACACTGTTTGGATATTATGCAACCAGCTGTTACGGTCCGCCTCCATTAACACACACCCTGTTTACAAACCAGGCTTTCTCTGCATGCCGTGTGTTTGGGTTTCACCTTGGCAGACTGAGGAGTTTCTCCATGAAACTTCAATACTGCGGTCATGGCATTGAACGATACTGAGATCTGAACCAGTTGCGAGCTAAAATGCCTTTAAATACATGAATATTTTTAACTTAAATACTCTGCTAGGATTGATAGTTAGACCTTTAAACTTTGAAAAAAGCAATACATAGAGCCGTATGGAAAACTCTAGCTTGAGGGAAAATTGAGACCTGTAATCCTAACACATTCTGTATCATATATACTATAGATATTATTGTTGTTACTGTTAATATCTATAAATGTAGTTTGTTTATTTTAATTTGATCATATTTTTTATTATTTGCAACAATTTCCCAAGCTAAGATCAATGAAATGTATCTACTCTAGTCGGTAGTGGACATTAACTAGGTATATTTACTGAAGTACATATTTTAGGTTACGTTACTGGTTATTTCTATTCCACCACCTGAGGAGCAACTATTGAACTTTTTACTCCACTATGTGAATTTGATGAATTAAATTAATTTGTAGATTCAGAATAATACAACATAATATAATTATGTAAATATACAATTATATTCACCGTTTTCTTTCTTATGTATCTTGTTTTATCTTGCTCACCCCTGGCAAGTGTACATGTACAAACCAATACATTTTGAAAGACACTACAGGAGAATAGGGTAAAAATATTTATTCAACAGATATCACCATGAAACTGAAAGATCTTTCTGAAATGTTTAACTATGCAAATGATGTATTAAGTGAGCTAACTTTAGGTGAATAACAGAGAAATCTGAAGAAGCAATTAAGACAAAGTAAATAAACAGATAAATGTGTATTTTAGGATGAGTTTTTTCACTAGTATGAAAAAAGACATGGAAGACATGTTATGGAAGAAAAATAGCCCAGTCTCAAAAATGCCCAGGGCATGAAAAACAATGACTATGCCTAAATGTATCTCCTTAACATCATACGCTGCAGCTGTGCTGAAAAGCAAAGATGCCTCCGTCTAACTGTGATTCAGGCCATTCATCATTAAATCAATATTCTAATCAATGCCAGGCATCCAGCTGACAGCTGTGAACACCAACTGAACCAAGAGTGTGAGACACCCCCACCTATAAATGGCCATCATGTAGATAAAATGTGTCTTGACGGAGTCACTTATGCTGCTTTGAAAAACATTGAGAAATCGAAATTCTTAGGGAATCATGAATTTATTTCAGAAAAGCCGACATTTTCAGGACGAAAAAACTTTCTCTATCCAAATGAAAAACACAATAATGTGGGAAATAAAAGTAAAACACATGGCTCATTCAGAGTTATGACAGTTTAGTACTAAAGACATAACCCACAAAAAAAAAAGTTTAAAAAAAAGGTAAAGAACTAAAACAAAAAAACAGACGCTGTAGCGGCCGGTAGACACATGCAACTGTCACCTGTTCAACCAGTAACCCCTCACTACCTGAACTTTAAAATACAGCGAGTATGAAAAAGGATTTTAAGCATATTATTCAAAATCTGCGTTGCTTGTTGGGTCCATAGTCTCCAGGGCCGGCGGGACCCCTGGGGAAGCCTCCCTGGCCCGGCCCGGGCATGTTGTTTCCTTGCCCTGGCATCATTGGAGCATTCTCAGCAGGAGCACCTGCAGGACCAGCATTGGCACCCAGCGAGTTTCTGTTCATCCCGTGACCGCCCATGTGCATCCTGATTTCTTGCTCCCTGTTTTCAGGGAAGTTGCCTCTGAAGCCGCCCTCCTGCTGCCTCTTCAGCATCTCCTCACTGCGCATCCTCATCTCCTCCTCTCTCCTCCGGTGTTCCTCCTCCTGCCGGATCTCAGACTGTTTCCTCTTCAGCACCTCCTGATTGTGGAGCTCCTCCATCCTCCGCAGCTCCTCCTGACGCCTCAGCAGGTCCTGCCTCATCAACATCACCTGGTGCTCATGTCTGGCCGCGTCCATCTCGACCTCCAGCTTCTCCTGAGCCTCCTTCATGTTGCGGTCCACCATCTCGTACTGCTGCTTCTCCATCTCCATCAGGGCCTTCCAGCGCATGGCATACTCGAACTCGAAGGAGCCCGGCTGTGCAAATCTTGGTGGCTGCTCACGCTCTTTGTGATACTGCTGGTTTTTGTTAATGATTTTTTCTGACAGTCCTTCCTCTTCATCCAGCTGATCCATGGGTTCCACTGTAATGGGTCGAGGAAAGGCTGTGAGAAGATAGGCACCATCACTGCACTTATCCAAAGCCTTTCTTGCAGCTGGCTTTGAGGTGAACTCCACTATTCCCTTCCCTGTGGGCCTCCCACGATCATCCACTATGACTACAGCTCTCTCTATCTGCCCAAAGCCAGCGAAGGCCTCCTCCAGCAGCTCGTTGGACACAAAATCTGGCAGATTTTTCACAGTTAAGGCTGCACCGTGTGTGGCAAATCTCACCCTGACAGGCCTGCCTTTGAACGGGGTATCATCCAGCTCTGCTCTGGCTATCTCTGCTATGATCCTGGTCTCCAGCCGGATGAAGCCGAAGCCTCTCTCCTTGTTGATAAAGATTTCATTGGCCCTGCCGTACTTGGCGAATAGCTTCTCCAGTTCCTCCTCAGATGTCCCGGTGGGCAGGTTTCCTACGAACAGCCTGCTCCGCTGGGTGAAGGTTTTCTCCCCGGGTTTCCTGAAGTTCTGCAGGTCCAGGGTTAAGGCCTCGTTGCTAGGATCCTCGGGCTGCTGGCCGTTGGTGTTCTTCTGCTCCACCGGGCGGTTAGACCCGTGGTTGTGCTGGGGGGGGCCTCTGTTTCCTTGCATTTTGTCTATTAAAGAATTAAAACCCGAGTCGACGAATCGCTCGTCAAAAAACACGCAAACTCTTAAAGCAGAGTGGCGCACAAAGAGCTGCGAAAAAATGGCGAGGAGACGGCTGCTTTTGTGAGATCAACACAACGCGACCCTTGTTTTTAAATGTGTGACGTATATTGGGTGCGACGTTGTAAAAAAACCTAAATGTACTACTCTCGATCTTTATAAAATGCCCCTTTATGAAATAGTATGCTGATTATATGTCAGACTGCTTCTTAAACTTGATTCAGTTAATTTATATTCAAGTTAACGTTACGTTACTTTAGTTTTCTATGTTTGTAGACTTGTTATCCCACATCCCATGTTTTCTCGCGAGACTTTGCGGTCATCTTGAAAAACAGCAATGTTGAGTGGGTGATTTCGCGGGAATTGTTTCCTTTGCTCGGGATGAAATGACTGATATCTGACTACATAACATACAACCTGATTCAACACGGATACCAGCTGAAGCCTTGCGTTGCCTGTACTAAGGTAAGGTCGTTACATCTGTGACATTGTTATTGATATTCTCAAAACAGTGGGCATGTTTTGGAAGAGCACTATTGTCATTAACGCTGTTTTGAATTGAGCTGCTAGCCTTTTAAAAACGACTTTAAACGTGCACGGTATTCACGAAGTTTGGATGTAACACAGCAGACAGGTTTCTACTAACCTCTCCTTCGCCTCTGCTTCAGGACAGTCATGTTTTCCGACCTGAGCGCCCAAAAGGAGGGCTCCTCTCTGCTCTGCCGCCCCTCCGAGGACCAGGGCCCGGTGTTTGACAGGATGTCTCTGGCCTACAGTCCATGCTCCGAGCGATACACGGTTGGGGAGCGGAGCTTCAGTCGCCAGTATGCTCATATCTACGCAGCACGACTCATGCAGATGAGACCCTTGTTGTCAGAGAGAGCCAAGCAGAAGTGGGGTGAGCTTGGCACATATTTGACCTACATTTCGTACTCAAGCATCTGAATTAATTTATCTTATCTATGTGTGTCTTTTTGTTGCTGCCAGGATCAGATGTGCTTATTAGGAAACTGTGTGATCTTCAGACAGGGGAGCAGTGTTGCATTGTGGGGACTTTGTTCAAGCGTATGGATTTGCAGCCATCCATTCTGAAAGAGATCAGTGAGGAGGTCAGCAGTCAAGGAACATTCACCAGCTTGACCCCCTAAATCCCTGACAAAATGAACGAATGTTCTGGCAGATGTCATGTATCATTGTTTTCCTCTTCCCTTCAGCACAACCTGTTGCCTCAGCCTGCAAGAGTCAAATTCATCAGTGAGACGGATGAGCTGATTCTGGAGGATGAGCTACAGAGGATCAAACTGGAGGGCAACATTTACAAAGACAAGTGTGTCACAGGTAAGGGGAAAATAGGATGTATGTGTCTGTCCACAGTCCACACTCATACAGATCTGTGTCACATGAAAGCTAAAGAAATTGGATTCGGGACGCAGTTGCTTGTAATGTGAATTTAGAATATAGGATTACAGGGTTTCATCACTCAGCTGTGTACAGCTGTCCTCTATGTAATGGCTTCTCTTCTATTTCTCTTACAGGTAGTGTTATTGCAATATATGGAGCCGAAAAGAATGATGGGAAGTTCACTGTTGAGGACTTTTGCATGGCTGATCTTCCTCCACAATCACCAAGACCTACACTGAGCTCTGACAGGTAAATACACAAATACATATACACACCATAAATCCCTGCCTTTAGTGATAATACGTTCTAATGTAGCTTCTGTCCTCATCCAGGTTTGTGCTCCTGGTCTCAGGACTCGGGCTCGGCAGTACTCACGCTGACAGCATGCTGGGGCTGCAGCTGCTGGTTGACATGGTAACTGGTCAGCTGGGTGACCAGGGGGAGCAGAGCGGTGCAGCGACAATTTCCAGAGTATTACTGGTTGGAAACCTGCTGAGCCAAAACACCCAGGATGCTGATGCAGCAACCAAGGTAACTGTTTGACACACAATTATTCTCAAAAATATGTTTAATTAGTTCTAAAGAAGCAAACATGAACTGGCTCTCATAATTAACATTTAAAAACATGTTTGATCCTCTGTGTGTTAAGCCTAAATACCTCACTAAGAAGACTCAGGCTGGCAGCGTGGAGGCCATTCGTCTGCTGGATGAGATGCTGCTTCAGCTGGTGGTGAGTCTGCCCCCCCCCCCCTCTACAATAGCTTGTTACATGTTATGGAGTAATGTAATTAGATAACAAGTTAAGTTCCTATCCGTTACAGTTACTTATTGAATCTCATAAAAGGGTTTTCATCTGAAAAAAGTGATGATATAACTATGTTGTCACTGCCTCCTGCTGTTATAGGCCTCAGTTCCAGTGGATGTCATGCCGGGCCAGTACGACCCCACCAACTTCACCCTCCCTCAGCAGGCCCTCCACCGCTGCATGTTCCCCCTGTCCTCAGTGTACCCCACGCTGCAGCTGGTCACCAATCCACACCAATCTCACATTGATGGAGTTAGGTAAGCAATACCATACAGTACATACATACATTCCTAAATCAACACATTTCTTTAACTATTAAAAACACATATGAACCACTCTTAAAATCGACATAAATAAAGTCCACTGTTCAGCACTTATTATAAAAGAATATAGTCACGAGCAGAGGATAGGATTGTAATGGAAACTTCTGGAGCAAGGAGTAGAACAAAATGAGAACACAGGAGAGCTGGAACTGGATGGCAAACACTGAAGATTCATTTGAAGTTACGTCCGGAGAATTGACATTTGCTGCATCCACAAAGTGACACAGCTCGTGGCCAACCAATTCTTAAGATCTCCCCCCCCCCCCCCCAGTTCCATGTATTTAGCTAGTTATAAGAGAATAATCAACATTTTGAACGACAAGACGCAACAAACAAATCACTATTACACCTCTATCAGCTGACGCCAACAGGCAGGAATAATGAGACAAAACACAGAGTGCATCAACCCTGTGCTCGGCAAGGGGAGTAGAACATTATAAACTGGGTCAAAGTTGTGGGCCTAGGAAAATATTTTCCTCAACAGATTTGGTCTTGAACCCTAAGCAAGTTTGAATATGTTAACAGCCATGTTTTTGTGTTTCCTCCAAGGTTCCTGGGCACATCCGGCCAGAATGTCTGTGACATTCAGAGATACAGCAGCATGGACGATCACCTGGAAATACTGGAGGACACGCTGCGACTCAGACACCTGGCGCCAACAGCACCCGATACTCTGGGTTAGTCACACAAGTCGATGCAAAACAAACGCAAACCTTCTGGGTCATACCTGTTCGCAGTACTCACAATGTCTTCTGTACATTTTCCTCCAGGTTGTTACCCATTTTACCAAAAAGACCCTTTCATCTTGGAAGAGTGTCCCCATGTTTACTTCAGTGGCATGGCCCCAACCTTTCAGTCTAAGCTTGTTACAGGTGAGCGATCACATTATGGTCCGTCCTTAGACTCTAAATGTTAAAATATTGACATTATGTTGGCTATATTGTGCACATGAACTGTCTCATATGCCAATACATGTTTTCTTCTTCTCTTCTTGCCAGGTCCTGATGGCCAAGAATGCCTTCTGGTTACTATTCCAGACTTCAACAGCACCCAAACAGCATGCCTGGTGAATTTACGTACTCTGACATGTGAGCCAATCAGCTTCTCTGCCTTCTCCGCGGACGAGGATGAGGACAGTGAGATGAACGTCAGCCACTGAGTGTCCATAATATCCACATACAGATCAACACTTCTAGGACGCTATTGATGAACACTCAAACTAAATTCTTATGACCACAGCGGAGTCACAGCAACATTGAGACATGAACTACAGAGGCGGGGGTGTTTGTGAAACACTGATGCTGTCCAGTGTCATAATGGCCAACAAATTGCTGTTAAAGTTACTGTTGTCAAGGTGTGTTATTTTTCCAGAAGGGATAAGGGCCCGGCCACATCTTAAATAATTGGCCATAATACTCGTTTGTAGTTTTAAAATAAAGATATAAAAGCACTGATATCCCAGAATGCTACACTCAAATACGTGTTTACAAATGTGCAAAAAAAGACAGAATAGGCATTGTGTATTACAGTAACAAACCTTTATTTGAAAAATAACTACTTTATTGCTGCGTCTGAGGCAACATGACAAAAGACCCTTTCCCTCTGAATCGCTGTAAGCTTTTTGAACCCTTTTGTGACTTTTCATACTGTAAAAATATGTGTAAATAACTCTGAAGTAAAAAAAAAAACTACTTTTTTTTTTATGTGCATCTACAATAAACATATTTTCATGACGCAAACAGACTGTGTAACAAGTTAGAACAATGCAGTGTGAACTGAAAACGGAAATGTTATAACAATATCTGTGAAGAGGCGTTCTGTTATAGATACACTATCTTTATACAAGTCAATTACTAGTTAATATTCTGTGCCTTCCCATTGCTTGTCTGTCACAAAGACAGGATTCCTTATCAGCCTGCTCAAAGTACAACATGGCAATTAGAACTACTTGAAGGAGAGGAAAGATGCATATTTACTGAATTGTGTGTGTAAGATTAATAGTCATCGATCTTGTATTCATAGTTATAGTCCAGGATGGAGTCTGTGAATCCGCCAAGCGTGGAGGACTGTCCCTCCCCTACGGTCCAGGAGTCGTACCAGAAAGTGGTTGTCTCTGGCGTTGTGGGAATTGTGGTTGTCGGGGGTAACGTCGTCGTTGGTCTTAACTTCAGTAATCTCTGTTGACGAAGGCGACGGATGCGAGCTATCCTGAGCCTCTTCTGCCGCTCGGCGATGACTCCCGAGTTCGCTGTAACCCCATTGTTGCCGTTTACAAAACGTCTGTTGCCACTCCCAACTGCCGGTGACTGCACTTTGTTGTTGCCATAGCTGAGTCGAATGGGCTTGTTGCCATTGAGGGCCATGATCTGCAGAGAAATAAGAAATACACTTTCTTAATAAGGATTTAAGATAGAGATGTACTGGTTTTACACAGCAGCACACAAGCAAACATGTCATTGGTGTGGAAGTTGTTTAGTGTGAGTCACATAAAGCTACACATTTGTAACCCATGCAAGTCCAAAATAAGCTTTGGACTAACAGTCTTGAAAACATTTAAAACGACTTTGAGATTGGCTTTAGTGAGAGTGAGACACTAACTTGATGCTGACTTTGAGATAATGTAAGCATTTATTTTGGTCATTTTTGTATTAGAAACGGGAATAAAGTATTCAATTCAAATCCTTTAATCATTTCACATTATACAGCGCCTGGGGAGAAGTATGGGTCAGGTGCCTTGCTCAAAGGCAGCTCGGCAACACCTAGGAGGTGAACTGGCAGCTTCCAAAGTACCAGTCAACACTCCAAGCCAAGTCCTTACAGACTGAGCTACTGCAGTCTGATGAACATACCATTGAATTTCAGTTTTCCTTGATAGTAAGTTACAAAAATGTTTGTTCATGCTGTGAATTATGGTTCTTAAAAGTAAAAACAATATACGTGACTTGTATGATGGTAGTGCCTTACCTGTTTGATGCGGTCCCAGTTGGACTTGGCCAGGTTGAAGCTGCAGGCGGTTGCCACTGACTGATACCCCACCACACAGAGTTTAGTCACAGGGGAGTATCCCTCAGCTCGAGCCGTCACGCGGTACTCCCCCGGGTTTAGCAGCCGCCAGTAATCCCCTGTTTGGGCTACAATAACAAAGAGAGCCATTTTGTTTTAAGAATCTCAGTTAAAACGTATGCAGAGAGATGCAAGAAGAGGAAGTCTTTCAGGATACCTGTCGTGACATCATGGTTTACTCCCTCTACAGACACAGTGGCGTTCGAAATGGGGTTCCCCTGCTGATCCTTCACAATGCCTCGGATACCACGGTGCACCTAGATTGAGAAGGAGAGTATTTTAAAGGGGATAAGATCACTACTTCTGATGTTGCCATGATTGAATATTTTCTAAATACCTGTTCGTTTTTTGTCATTTTATTTTACAATAATCAACAATCACCAATGGGTCAATATACAAACATTACACTGAGAGATGTAATGCAAATATAAAGTTGATCTGTCAAGGAAACCATACACCTTTTAGTTGAAGACAATCTTAATTCAGGAAGTCAGTACGATGGTGTGAGAGTGTGTGTGACTGACCTGCTCCATGAAGATGAGCATTGCTTCTCTGTTCTTCTCCCACTCATACACCAACTCATTCTGATGAGGGAATTTATCACATCCCAGGAATATAGAAAGCTCAAAGCAATTGGTGTGCAGGTAGCTGAAATCATTCATACCTAGAGAGGTGAACACACACAAACTGAAAACCAGATCCTGCACAGCACATGTTGTCCAGCAGGGTGTGTTAAAAATGCATGGAGATAGCTAAAACACTTGCAAAAAACATTGGATAAACCTACTGAACTCTTACATTTACTTAAGTAGAGTATTCCAAAATTGTACTAAACTTAATTTGCTGCTACTTACATTTCTACTTCACTACAAATCAGAGGCAAATATTGTACTTATTACTCCAACACATTTTATGAGTTACTTTTAAGCAGATTCACATTAAAAATACAAAATATAATCAACATAATTGATCAGGTATATACTGTAGGTCAGATAATCCCAAGCTAAATTCTAAAAGATGAGATCCCTCTTTACCAACTTGGAAAAATAAAGTAATGCATACATATAATGCAATAGTTATGATCCAATAATATAATATGTATATATTTACATATTTTGAATACAGGACTTTCAATTGATTTGTCTACACTGTCACTTTACTTTACTTTAACTTTGGTAAAACAAACTGAGTATTTCCTCCTCTACTGCTGGCATTTACTTACTTCCTTTGATTGGCTTCCATGTGGCCCGGTTGACGATGCCGTGCGTCCCTGCGGCGTTGTCTCCGTGGCAGGAGCCCTGGTAGTTGTGCGTCATGGTCAGGTGAGTGGAAGCGTAGGAGACAGCCAGCCACCTGAAGAGGGACTCGTCTGGGATCATCCGAGGCTCATCTTCAGGCTCCCCGTACTGATTATCGGCACCTCTTCCTCGATCATCCTCTTCCTCCTCTCTTCTCTCATAACCTTGGTTTTGTTCATAACCTTGGTTTTGTTCATAACCTTGGTTTTGGTCGTAACCTTGGTTTTGGTCGTAGCCATGTTCGTATCCTTGGTTTCGGTCGTATCCTTGGTTTCGGTCGTATCCTTGGTTTCGGTCGTATCCACGGTCGTATCCCTGGTTGTGTTCATACCCACGGTCATGTCCTTGGTTTTGATCGTAGCCATGTTCGTAACCTTGGTTGTGGTCGTATCCCCTCTCCTCCTCTTCTGGCTCTGAATGTCCTCTTGATCGCCAGTCTTCCTCCGGCTCTGTGTGGTAGCCCCTTCCCCACTCTGTCCCATCAAAACTTTCCTCTTCATACCTGTAAGAAATGACTCTAGTTGAACTATTTAACTTGATGGTGAATGTGAGATGTTCATGAAGAGTTATATGCAGGAGAGAGCATGACAAATAAAGAGTTTAGGACATAAGTGTGTGCAAAGAAGGAAAGACAACGTCAGAACGCATTGGTTAAGGGTGAGGAAAAGCCATACTGTCTCTTCTTGCGGCTGTGAGGTTTCTGGCTCTCTGCAGGCTTGTTGAGACGTAAGCTGTCATAAGGGTAGGCTACAATTGACTCCCCACCCTGGAAGTTTGCACCTAACACAAATGGATAGCTATTCATCCAGGAGATTACCGCTTTGGTTTCCACAGCAAACTGGAATAAAGACAAGAAGACCGATGTAAGCAGAGTAGACACTGTGTTTAGCTTAAAGAGTAAACCTCAACCACCTTTTTAAAAATACAAGTATATTTTACATCCACTGGCAATTAAAAAAATATGAGGAGAGGTTACAAGAAGTGCATTTGGTGGTGATAAAACAACAACCCTAAACTGGAGGTCTTTTGTCCTCAGATTTTATAATAAACTGGTTGTAAGACACAAACAGGGTCCCATACCGAGCTGTTGGTCTCGTAGTTGTCGGGTATAGGCACGTGGTGATTGGGAGTGAGTTTTGGCACAAGACCCTTATCATCAGCATCCCATAGGATACTATTAAGTTCGGGGAAGTTCTGGAAGATGTCAAAGCCGTCATCAGTGAAATGTCCCGTGGTCCATCCACTCAGCTCTGATCCCTGCAGAGGAGAAACGGGCCACATGAAACCAAGTCACCCAAGACCACGAACATGACTCTCTGGCATTTCCTGTTTGTGCCTCTCTTTTGTTTGCCAGAAAAGTAAAAACACATGATGTTAAACAATGATAACCACTGACCGCTTCAAAAGCTTCCATGTGTCCGTCGGGGTTGAGCGAGGGCACCAGGTGGATGCGTATTCCCTCCACCAGACGCTGCGCTCTGGGGTTTCTGTCTTTGTACTCTTTGCACAGGTACTGCATGAGGAGCAGCAGCATCTCCCGGCCCACTGCCTCGTTTCCGTGAAGACCGGCCGTGAAGCGCAGCTCTGGCTCACCTGTGGAGACAATGGGAGAAGACTGTAGTTGTTGGTCCCTTAAACCGTAATCTGCTGACTTCCACCTGGTGTTTATCTGGATTTATAGGAATCATTGGTGGTGCCATTGAGCCCCAGTTGTTCAACCAAACAGCATTTAACAGCAAAAGAGAGATTCATCATCATAGGGATGCAGAATATAGATTTTATCCTGCCAGTGCCAACAACTGATTATTACTTGCTTATGTGGCCGATCCAGTAGATACCCAAACATTTTTAGTTTTTTAAAAAGAAGTTCAAGACCTGTAGTTTATGATCATCAGAAGGTAGAAGGGCAAGGGCTGTAGATTTAGATTAGAACGACAATTTCATATTCCATAGTTTGACCTAACCAAATCTAATTTAGGGTTTGTCATCATATGTCATCAAACTACACATAATACAAAAAAGTAATTTTTTAATACATAAAAAAAGAAAATTGCAATCATGGTTACTTTGTCTGAACATTTGAGAAACGTCAACACGTGCGACCACATGTTTGGCTCTCTGTCTCTATCTACAGTCAGTGTAGATAATTAATCGGCAGTTTGCAAACCAACTTACTCTATAAACACAAGCTGGTTAAGTGAATAAAAGCTATTTGGCCTTAGAAAATCAGCTGATCTTTTATCTGATATTATACAGTATATCTTGCATCCCTAGTCATATGAACACATGCCCACCTATTTCGTGCTCTGTGGGGTTGCTGGAGATGATGATGGCCATGATATCGAGTCCCTTGGAGCTGCGGCCCAGGCTGTAGACGCTGGTGATGTTGGGACACTCTGAATTCACAGACTTCATGACCTGAACACGTGGGACGATGGTAACAGTCAGTGTGCAAAGTATTGTACATCATTTACACGTAAAAATCCTCCTAAAAATCAACAATGTACTCATGACGGTTGGGAAAAGTGTGGGCGCTGTTCATGATAAGCATTGCCTTGGAAAGGTCATGGTCAAAAATCTGCTCAAAGATTGTTGGTCAACCCTGTCAGAGACTCTATGACTCAGCCTATCATAACAACCTAGTGAGGCTGTCCAACAACATCATCTCTGACCCAAACCATGTTCTGAACAGTGAATATGAACTGCTACCATCTAATCGGAGATACAGGGTCCCACGATTCAATAAAGTCAGACTGAAGCACTCCTTTGTGCATCAGTCACTCCTCACAGTAAACACAGAGCTAAATCCCAGATCAAATGCACGCTGAAGGCTCTTTGAGCAGCTTTTCTCTCACTGATTGTGCTGTTATGTTAAATGTTTGTTGTTTGTGTTTCATGAATTTGTGTCTGGATATTTGTCTGTTGATGTTGGACATGGAGCTGCTGTGACGCAAGTCAAATTTCAGACTTGATCTGACAAATAAATAATATCGTATCGTATATCGTATCGTATGTTGGCCTCTGGCAGCTGTAATAATAAGCAGAGAAGGAATGAGCACACTGCGGGGTTAGGGTGAGGGTTTAATATCAGTTCATATTAAAGTGGATTAAAACAGTTTAAATGTTCAGGGAAATTATTTAGTTTTTCGTCTTTGGGGAAATAACAGAGGTATTTCCTGTTGAATTCAATGAGCCAGCAGATGTGCAGGGGGCCGTGTGGAGGATACTCACTTCAACCATCTCTGAGTAGCTGTGATGTCTGAACTTTAGGTAATCCACTGGAGTCACTTCATTCTGCCTGTACTGAACATCCACTGGATCTGTGGAACAAGACAAAAATAAAATGCATCCTTCATTTTGTATTGTGCGTATTTATAGTGTGCGTGCAAAAGGATTACTTCATCCAGAAAAGGTCAATTTGTGTATCAATTACTCACCCTTTGTTACATTGAATATGTGAAGAAAACTTAGTTTTTCTCACATCGCTCCTAGTTAAATGAACAATCGGAAAACTCTAGATGAATTTAATTGCATAGGGGCCGCAAACATTTATGGAAACATCCATTCACAAACTCTCACACAACTTCTGTAATATAACCCAAGTCTCATTTAATCAGCTGCAGGCTTATTACCTCTTGCCTATTTGCATAAAACCTTCCTATTTAAACAAGTTTGGACTCTTCCACACTTGTTTGGATACTTTTTATGCAGATGTGTTTTTATAGAATAGAAACGTTATAGTGAAAATGCATGTGTTTGTGAAGAAGTGACTGGTTAAATGAGACTTGGATTATGCTTCACGAGTTGTATGAGAGTTTGTGAAAGGATACAATGTTAATGTCTTCAAATGCTGCCCTCATTTACTTTAATTCACCAAGTCTTTGTACTGTGTTTGATTCTTCATTCACCGTTTGGGTATGTATGAAACACCGTCTTGAATAATTATCGGTAACACAGGGTGAGAATGTGCTCCTATGTATATATACTGATTTACAATTTGCTTGTGAAGATTGTTTTTAAAGTGTTGGAGGCTCACCGGGCCGTGGGCAGCCGAGGACCTCCAGCCTCATGCAGAGGGAGCCGTTCCAGCTCTGAGGGATGATTCTGATGTAGCGAGCCAGCACAGGCTCTGCCAGCTGATTCATCACCGGAGTGTCTTTATCACTGTTTCCAAAAAACAACTTGGGGAGAGGGAGAAAGGTGAGTCAGGAAAAGAGAAGGCAAATCATACATAATGCCAAAAGGAGGGGCCATATAGTACATTAAGGTGAACTAACCCAGTCAGTGTACCCATCATGGATGGTGGTCCACTCTCTGCTGTCATTGCTGAAAGCCAGGAAGTAGGACAACACGTAGTCACTCCTGGAATGAGGGAATGTGTTAGCAACATGTTCAATACAGAAATAGAAAATACCTAGTCTGTGTGTTAGTATCTCACGCGTTCATGGAGTCTCGTCCTTGGGTTATGACTCCTGTGAACTCCGTCTCTCTGCGAGCATCAATCTCAAACCAGTGGATCTTATCCTCCTGGTTTGCACACCACGCTCCTCCTCTCATGTTGTCTTCATCATCTGAGCCCTGGGAACCACAGAGACCACAACACATGCTGCAGGGTGCTTTAACTTGGTCACATTTGGAGCCCAAATATTAACTTATCGCACACTGACATGCAATTATATTTAATTCATACCTCACAGATGCACTGATGCAACTGCAATAATTCATCAGCTGATCCAATAATTTAGCTGCTAAAAAGGTTATTTAGACTATAGATTATGGTCATAGCAGATAATGGATGTAACAGACTCAGCCGTAATTTATATTTTCCGACATGGCTCCTCTGGTAGCTGGTGTTTATATTAAAGCCTGGCAGTATGTAAGTGATAGCTGCCTGAAAGCGTTCACACCACAGCAGCCCCCTCTGATGGTTTACCTGCATGTTGAGTCGCGCCCTCTGAGGTGCAAAGATATACTGAGACATGGAGGAGGCTGTGAGCTGGTCCGACTCGACCCTGTGGGACTCCATCCCCAGGGGAGGGCACTCTGCCAATAAAAATGTTAATGATATGTTAATGTTATCAGCAGAAGCTTAAGCAATGCCTTTCAGATCTGAACAAACGTACTCTTTGGCTCTTTGAAGACGCGCGGTCTGTTCCTGGCCCGCTCCTCGGCCTCCTTCAGCTTCTCCGCTCTCTCTGGCAGAAATCAGAAAAAAAAGGTCTTACTGCAAATCAAATTGTCTTGACTGAATATGTTCTCTCTCTCTTCCCAGAAATGATCTAGGAACTCATGTGAATTCTTTTCAAATGGAAATGCCAAAAAAAAGTGTAGTAAAAAAAAAACAGATGTTATGATCTCTCTTCCAAGTGCTGATCAAACTCAGAACATCCTAAAGAGAAACACTGCTGAATCCCATCCAGCATTATCTTAAGTCAGATTTTTACACACTGAACTGACATAATAAAGTTTATTGCTGGTAGTATGGCAGCCAGAAGTCTTACTGACAGCTGTACGTTAACTCACCTACCATGCACACACAAGTGGACAAACCCATTCACACACTGATGTGTATAGATGCAGGACCACATCTGCTTTTCTTTGTTACAGTCAGATAATTGTTTCAAGCCCCAAAAACGTCTGATCTTTTTTAAGCCAAAATGCTTTTCACCTTAAACCCAGATAGCAGTGAACCATCCACACAGGAAGTGACCTATTGACACCGGTCTTGGTGGAGTTATATATCCTCGTCTCCAGACTCTCCTTAACCACCAGTTAACCCCGCTACACACAGCAGACACGTGGCGAAAAAGAGCTGACACTTTAAGTCTCTACATTGCAACATTGTCTGCCTGCTAATTCTCCCTGGTTGCCTTTTTCTTTATCACTCACACTAATCTACTGCATTCAGATCAGTGTCAGTTGACCTCCCCTCTCACTCCCTTGGCTTCAGTGCAACTCACAAGAGTCTTCTGAAATAACTTTGAATAATCTTCATTTTGTTATGGAAGGGTTGAACTTTTGTTCACAAGTTAAAGCAAGTACCAAAGGCTTTAACATGGTAGAAAGTCACATCTGTTGTTTTCTTAAAACAGACATTTGATCTAAATGAGGCAACACCTTCTGTTATCTGTTAGTAGCCTACTTTTGCACTGAGGTCACAGGCCACGTTCTTTGATTTGGCAACTCCAATATCTGTGTTTTCGGACAAGATTGTGCAAAATGTGTTATCTAAAAGAGAGTAGTATCTTACCTTTCTCTTCCCTTGCTCTTTCTTTTGCTGCTCTTTCTCTCTCCTTCTCCATCCATTTGTCCTCAGTCTCTGCTCCTTTCCTGCCTGTGGAGAATTAAGGATCATTTTATAGAAATACCTATATATACACTTGTGCCCTGTACAGCAGTGTGTATGCAAGTCTTTCTGTGTTTTTATAAGCTATTAGGAACCAAATGCAGTACAAATGTCACAAAAGATCATTTAAAAGTCTGGAAAGTTTTGACCTGACTGTTATTTATCGCTTTGCTCTCCTTGCTCTCTGCTTGGTTGGCAGGAAGAGTCACTGCAGCTTAACTAATGGATCTAATATAAAACAGTTTGGATATGTTTCAGTGTGTGTGTGTGTGTGTGTGTGTGTGTGTGTGTGTGTGTGTGTGTGTGTGTGTGTGTGTGTGTGTGTGTGCGCACATACTATTTCCGTATTCGTCGTAATCATCATACCATGTCCCCTCATCGGGAGGAGTGGCTGTGGGCTCCTCTGCGTAGATAAAACAAACATAAAGTCAGACAACTCGTTCAGACAACGCTATTAAGTGATACTTTATAAGATGACGTGCTTTCATAAAGTTTTACAGGTTAGTCCAGCCCTGATTTATTCACCCACAACAACTGTTCTCTATTTGGATGCCACTGTGACGCCTACGATGTAATTAAGTTGTTAAATCTTTAATTTACATTTACAGGAATTATAACAAAGTGGTGATCTGATGACAAGGCTCTTTTTTTTTTAAAACTCCACATCAAAACTAAGGAACATTTTGTTGACTCTTTGGAACCAAGCAAATCTACCCACTCCTGTTTGAAAAGTAGGGCAGGTTAGCTCACAGACTCACTGTTATGTTATTCCCATGTGTTGAATTGCGCAGGATTTCTCATCTGCTGCCAGCATAAAGGCACAGATGGAATTACATTTTGTCTGCATCACAAAGTCTACAGAGATTTCTCACTAGTTGACTACATAATTGAAAATATGACTAGAATTTTAAGCATGTTTGAGTGACAGAAGTTACCTGGTATAATTTCTACTTCGATTTCAGGGCTGACCTCTTTACCATCAGGGAATGGAAGATTCTCCGGCACCTCATCTGCAGAAGAAATTAAGTGTCCGATCAGACTGAGAAACAGGAGAACGTGATAGAAAATGCAGGATGTGCAAGTGTGAGTGAATCGGTGGAAATGTTGTGAGAGCATAGGTATAGTATGCTGGGAATACAGAGTAATGAGCACATATGTCCGCTCCAGATGAGTGTCACCGAGCCACACGAAGGACTGTTTCTTACATCTGAGCCTGTGGAAAAAGGCAACTTCCAACATGAGTCATTTGGGGGAGCTCTTGGGAAAAAAGCTTGGGAACCCCTGACCTAGTGAATGTTGTCACAGTCAAATAAAACCTAACAATTGAAGAATCATTGCATAATGCAAGTGTTTTTTGGTCCAAATATTGTTTCAAATACATTGTTTTTTTGATATTCCAAAATACAAGTGAACAATTTTAAACCTTTACAAAATGTGACAGTGAGTGGGTCACGAAAACTTAAAATCTACAGCTGTGATTCATTACGAACTGATCATTCACAGAACAGATCAAATGAAGCCGTTTAGAAACCTTGTGGTCTTCTTCATGAGTCATGTGGACCTGGTTTAAAAACAAGAACACAACGATCCATGTTTGGCTGTGACTGTAGTAACACAGTAAACGAAACAGGGATGAGGCATTGTGGTGCATGAAGGAATCTAACTGAAAGCTGCTGATGAGTAATACAAGCAATTGGAAATTTAGTTCGACAACTATTTGCAGTATAACTAAAAAGTTAAATGAATTTCTTACATTTCTTACGTTCCCATAGGATAATTCTAATTGTACCTCATTGTATTCATGCGTGTGATAAACATAGGCTGCATATAAGAAGTCGTCCCAATCATTGGATGTCACCATAGACGGATGTCACCCATTGGTGTCAAGATGTTGGAGCAAAGTACATACATAAGTATACATTGCTGTGAAAGGGTTAGAGGGTAAGACCATAACACCCAAGAAAAGCAACCTGTCATTCATAAGTTAGACAAGCCCTAAAGCATACTCTGTTCTATCGCCTATTTTAATTTAAATAGAAATATAATTTACAAAATGAACATCATGCTATATTGAACAAGACTTGAAACTAGCAGTCGAGACCATAAAATCAATGAGAGAATGTTTTCTGAGGTAATAAATCAAGTCCCAATAGAGTATTGTTCTCATAGACTTCTATAGACTTCCCTTTTGCCCCCTGCTGGTCATTGAACAGAATGCAGGTTAACAACACTTCCATAAATGCCACACTTCCCCAGATGTTGCCCCTTGGTGTCAAACTGTCACTCCACAAATATCTTAAATCAAAGAAAGACTCACAATTTTTGTCCCAGTAGTCGGAGTTATCAGTCTTCCCATCCACCTCTGGGGTGGGGGGCGTCGGGTCCTCTTTCCAATAGGTGTCGTAATTATCAGTCACAGGAACGTATGGTTCTTTATCGTCTGGGGTCCAGTAGTCATCGTAAGCATTAGGCGCCCGAGTGGATGGCTCTTCCTCCTTGGGTTTCCAGTAGTCATCGTAGACGTCTGTCACTGGAGCAGCCGGGTCTTCCTCCTCCGGCTTATAGTCATCGTATGGAAGATCTGTTAATGGAGCAGCCAGGTCTTCCTCCTCCGGATTATAGTCATCATACGGAATATCTGTCACTGGAGCAGCCAGGTCTTCCTCCTCCAGCTTATAGTCATCATAAGGAAGATCTGTTTCTGGAGCTTCAGGCTCAGGCCCGGCTGGTGTGGGATCGGCATCCCAGTAGTCATCTTCTGGTTTCCAGTATTCATTGTCTGGCAGAAAAACAGATGTAAAGCTAGTCTCAGGTGTCCAAACTGAAATATTGTTCAAGTTCAAGGTTCAAGGCTTTTATTAGTCATACGTACATAGCTACAGTGTAGTTATGACGATTACAATCTTAGGTCCCAGGCTCCACCAACAGTGCAACAACAACACTTTTTAGGTTATGCTTATATTAACTGCTTTCTTAGAAAACATGATACAGCAATTGCTATTGGAAGCAAACTTAACATAGCTGAACTATAATATGTTATAGGTTTGTCTTTTGGAATGAAAGAACCTTTCACAACTGGCTTTCTGGCTAAGTAGCACTAATCTTGTGTTTTTTTTATGGATATTGTTTTCCTTTAAGGGAGATAATGGAGGCTTTAAGCCCTGAAAACTGACTTTGATGTTAAATCTGTGGAGCACCCCTTTAAAATGTTCAATAATTGTGGGAAGAGTTGTACCAACCCAGTATTATATTATAAAATATTAAGAGAAGGGTGTTGTAGTCATGGGTAAATCCAAATGAAATATCAAAAATGCTACAAATTTTGTAGATCTAAAATTTGATAAAATAGACTTATTTATCCCCAGCGGACACATGAACTAAAAAGTGAGATTGGTCTATAGATAGATTTTTTATAAATAGATTTATAATTATAGAATGTGCCTATATTTCCTACCCAATTAGTTTGTGTCACTCACCAACATCAGGATAGACGTAGTCAGTGTACGGTTCAGTGGGCGGTTCAGTCGGGATCACTGAAGGCAGCAGACAAACACAAGGTCAACAACATCCATAAAGTACAAATCATTCAAGTACAAACTTGGCTTTCTGCTCTGTTCTGTCCCCACCTGTTGTGGTGGGTGGTTCAGTTGTTGTTGTTGTTGTTGGCGTTGTTGTTGTTGTTGTTGTTTTCCTGTCCTTCTTCTTTCCCTTCTTGTCAGTCTTGGGCTTTTTGGTGGCGTTGGGGTCCTTCGGCTCTTTTTTCTTCTTCTTGTCCTTCTTCTTCTTTTTACCTTCTTCTGGCTCTCTCCTCACCCTGCCAGAAATACCTAGAAAGATGAGGTTAACAGAAGAAGAGAGGTTTTCCCAAATTAATTTAATCCTTTGGCCATGATCAAAATAAGCACAAAGCACAATAAATGCATAAACAATTGTCTTTTTCCCCAAAACAATTAAGCCTCTTCAGCTGGTATTACTAAATATCTTATAATGCCAAGAGATTAATCCATAAAAGCCCTATAACATTAAGGACTGAAATAAAAGGTAAAGTAACACTGTTTCATTTATGTCAGACTTGAATTATGCAATGGTTTCTTTCCTGCAATGGCAAAACACAGCGCTGCCAGGGAAAATCCAGACAGCGGATTTATTTTAGTGGCTGCTTCAGGTTCATCAGTATTTCCTCCTGAGGTTGTCTGAAATTGTGAGGCCCTTTCATGGAAAACACTGCTCTATCTTTCCATTAGCTGGACTCCATAAACCAGACTTCAGTTTTAATATGTCCAGATGTTCAATGAAGACATCACTATCACCTCCATCATCTCATAAGTGAGACTCATTAAACGGTGCGCAACGGTTTGAGCTGACTGTTTGCAATTGTGCAACAGTCTTCCTATCAGTCTGACCAGAGTGGATATGCACTGTGGTCAGTATTAATCATACAGGCAGTATGCTGTGGCAGTGGAAAAGGTCCGTCTGTGTCATATCTGACCGCAATATGCTTAAGTCAGTGTATTCTTCCCTGTCTGGTATGTAGGACACACACAATCAGTTGTATTCTCTGCTGTGGAGGAGTAACAGGTTAGTATCTGTACTTTCTCATGCCTGTAAAGCTGTCAGACTCTGAGTGTGTGTGTGTGTGTGTGTGTGTGTGTGTGTGTGTGTGTGTGTGTGTGTGTGTGTGTGTGTGTGTGTGTGTGTGTGTGTGTGTCTGTGTTTGCTCTTCCCTATCATGTTGGAGGTCAAACCATACCTGATCAGCTTTGATGTCTTGACTGTGCAACAAATGTGTCTTTTACTTTACTTAAAATCTGAATTGTGTCCACTCACCTGCCTGTGCAGCCTCCTCTGTGTCTCTCTTTCCCCTTTTGCTGCTCCCCAGTGGGTGAGGGTCCCCTGCGAGTACTTGCTCACTCTCTGGGTCTTCCAGGGGCTCATCTTGCAGCTGATCCCCAGCCTGCTTCTCTGCTTCAGCCTGCCGCAGAGAAACGATCCCCCCAGCACTCTCCCCTCCTCTGGGGATCAGCAGGCAGCACAGGGCCAGCAGAGCCACAGACACAACCACAGTCTGGCTTTTCATACCTGCTGCTCTTCCAAATGCACAATCCTTTGGTTTGGAGTTTTTTCCGATTCAATCTCAGTCGCCTCAATCCAACCTCGTCCAGCAGAAGAATTCCTTCTCAACCTTTCCTTCCCCTGTGTCCTTTGCAATGTGATCCACACTTTTTACTCCAGCAGGGAAACTTCTGCAGCTCCTCACACACACACAATGTCAAACAGACTGGGCTAGACTGAGATGGAGTGGGAGGGGGGTAGGGATATGCAGGGAGGTGGGTTATACAGAGAGAGAGAGAGAGAGAGAGAGAGAGAGAGAGAGAGAGAGCGAGAGAGAAAGAAAGAGAGATACAGAGCAAAGCAGCAATCCAGTCAAATGAATGGACTGGTTTCCTAATTGCCCCACAGCTACGGTCAGCTGCAAAAACAGCGCAAGGCCAGAGGATCCCCCCTCACCTGGCTGACGACGAGTCAGAACAGGTGCAGGGATCAGACAGGAGACGGCGGGGGGAGGATGAGGGAGGGCAGGTGAGGCCTCAGACTATAGGGCTTGCACCTCCTGGGTTGAAGAAAGAAGTCAGATCTTTCTTTCCGTCTGCAGCTCCTGTTGAATTCCTCACGGAGAGCTTTAACCCTGCAGACTCACACAGAGCAGAGCAGCAGGAGAGACGAGCGACTGCTACGACTTAGAATTCCACACCAGGAGGAGGAGGAGGAGAAAGGGGAGAAAAAGGGGAGAAAAAGGGGAGGAGGACATGGATTGTGTGTGTGTGTGTGTGTGTTAACAAAACCAAACACTGCTAATCATCAGAGGGAGGAATTCAAAGAAAATGAAAACAGAACATCAATTATTTTGCAGTCCGAGGCTTGTTTTGGTTGGGAAGGGATCTTCACTAACCGTCTCGTGTCTGTCTTTCTTTCCTCACACTAATGATCCTTCACACAGGACGGGGGAATTGTTTGAGCAGATGACAGAATAATAGCCTTTTAAGATGTTAGTGTTTTCTTTGCCGTCCCCCCCCATCCTCCTCCTCCTCTGTCCACCATTTGGAGGGGCCTTTAAATGATGGACGTGCAGCACATTTATCCAGAGTCAGCGTACATGAAATAGTCTTTCCTAGAGCAGTGTATTCTCAATGGGGAAATACAAATCTAGGTGAAGATATTAGACAGTAATGACATATTTTTACATCATGTAGAATTAAGTAAGGGGTCTAAAATAATGTCTGTGTAAAAAGGTGTCATGTTACTCCACTTTTGCACACATTCCTACAAAATGCAATGACCTCAGCTCAGGTTTTTTGCCTCCATTGTCACCTGCACTCGCTCCATGAGAGAAGGCTTATTATCCAGACATGCCTGATGTTTGAATAAAGAAGTGCAAATGAAAACACTGCACAGGAATGTAACTCTGACACAAGACAGACACACAATAGCAAACACACCTGGTAAAAAACATTCAGTTTATATACACTCTCAGATGTTGAAGATAGTCTAACAGAATTGGTCCAGGAGGATTTGATTTAAAGACAAATGTATTGTAACATGCAATGATATCTGTGTTGGATATGACTAAGGCTCTGAAGAATGCAGCAGATAATTCAGACTAGAGTAAGGTCAAACTGAGGCCTTTTTATCTGGCAAGGATACAGACTCACACAGTGGGGAGGGAGCTGGAAAACACTTTTCCTTTTTTTTCATACAAGCTATTTCACAATACAGACAGAAATCTGCAAGGCCGGTGTCTGCCTTCAGTAATAAAAGTCAAATGAAAGCATGGAAAACAACATGTGAATCTCTTAAATGATTTACTCATGAAGAATGGAGTATAAGAAAACCAGAGCAGCTTTGATAGTAAATAATTTCTGTCTTACCAGATGGACGAGTGTGGAATTGTGATGGACTCGTACTTAACTTAAGTATTTACATTTTTACGACAATTTTACTTTCGTTAAAGAATCTGATTACTTTTTACACCATTTTAAACAACAATGGTTGTGTGTGAGCTGCAGTTACATACACAAATATCACACCAGGACACAGAGATAACTCCTGACCTTTGATGTCACTCACATGGTGATTACTGTTCAGACAAGAGTAAGTGGGGAAGTCCTTTTTTCCAAGAAGCGCAAGCATAATGTTTCAGAAATGACACCACAGATGGATAATTACACAGATGAGCATTTGAGGCCTCACATTAACGTACATGACAACACTTCCCACTTACCACACTTTGCATCCGGCATGTAATGATATACAAATATAATGTCAAGAATTTCCTGCCGAAAACAGTTGATATTCATGATATATTCCAGATAGCAATCAACAATTTGCTTAACACTTCTTAAATGCCACTTGAACATACTGTAGCGGAATATGTATGGCAAAGAAAAGCGTTTTTAGTGAAAAAAAACGAAAAACAAATCTTAAATAATGGTATTTGTAAAATAAATCAATAATAAATTAGGAAACAAATAGCAAAATTCTGTTCTTTCTTACATGATAGCTCCGGTATTTGTTTTTAAAGAGGCCCCATGATTCTTTTTTTTTTTTTTACCTTTAGTGTGTAGTGTAGTGTTTCTCTCCCACAAACTCCCCCACTGCCTGAAACACCTCAATTGTTTACTTCTAACAGAGTGACATCACTATGTAACACTCACGCTATTATTGGCTAGCGCTCCAACACATTGCACATGATGGGCTAAGGGTGGACATCTCTAATGGCGCATTTCCACTGCAGGGTCTCGAACGGCTTAGTACGGTATAGTTAGGCCTTGGTAGGCCAGGTTCACTTTATGTTGCGTTTCCATTACAGTTTAGGAACTGGGGTAGTAACTATAGTAACGCAGTGTAGGCGGAGCCGTGACGTCATCTTCAATGAAACACAAAACCAAAAAAGCCCTCAGAGCTCACAGCTCCTCATATCTGTTCAGAAACTAGACAAAAGTTAAACAAGTACAAACCACAGACTGTCTGTGTCATGGTGAATACAGTCGCTGGTTTATTTATGTCTGTATAGGCCGTTGAGTGTGGACGGTCGGAGCATATAAAACGTTAGCTTAGCCGATCTCCATTCAGAAAACACGCATTTTAAAAGGTTTTTCGCCTGCCGTCTGTCTGCAGACTTGTCAAAGCATTAATTCATGGTTTTTACTAACCGGTATCAGTATGTTGTTACTTCGGCATCATTTTGAAACGTGTATTATAATTAAATCACGGTCAAATATGTTCATTTTGTTGTAGTTGCCAGCGATTCTCTCACTAGTTTAGCATACTCAGCCCGGTTGTTGGCCCGGAAAGAACCTCGATTTTGGAGAGCCAGAAAACTGTGAAAAAGTACCCGCTAGCCGGAACTACGCCTAGTGGAAACGCAACCAAAAGGGTCATTCCAGAATTGGAGGACAATTTAGACACCAACATTTTTGAAAAATTAACCTTTTATTTTATTTTATTTTTTTAATGTATTTAGGATAAACAGATAATAAACCATACAAAAAAGTGATTTGCCCAGCTAGGCATCAAATTAATATTTTCCAATGAAGAATTACCCCTGTTACTCTAATTATAGTACAGGGTTGAAAATAAATGCTAATTTGAGCTTTAACCTCAGGAATTATTGCTAGATGTAGCATGTAATGCTACTTTCAAGGCAAGGACAAACTTGGATATCTAATGCAAGAAAGATAACTTTGAAATGAATATGCTTTATTCTGATAATATCAGTAACAGGGTTGAGTGGGTCAGAGTGCCACACTCTTTTAAGACTGAAAAGATTGTAAAAATATGAAAAATAAAAGAGAGGACTTAGTTTTGGTCTACCCATGGCACTAGCACATGGCTGGCTGATGTCCTTTCCACTGTGTCATCTGACTTACAGTTTTTTCACTTCCTCTGCCAATCTAAAAAGGTTTGGGTAACAGGGTTGAACGCATGTTCAGGGACACACCTTCTGTGCAAAATTACTGTTATTTAAAATATGTTTATGATTTAATAAATTGATTCATTACAAGAGACATATATCAATAGAATAATACCAAAAAAAGTAAATAAAATCCCGATTTTAAATGTTATATTTGACATGCAAGTTGGTCACCAAGAAGCGGGGACAAGAGAAAAATGCCATTTTAGGGGATGTTCGAGAGCTATTTGATAATATTATCATAATATTTTGAAACCACTTGTTCTACAACTTCATATACATATTGTCTCAAGACAAGTATGTTTAACACAACAAGTGCATGTTTTAGCTTTTTGGGCATGGATTATTAGATTTTTTATATGGGGGACATGAAATGTCCTCCAATTCTGGAATGATCCAAAAACTGATGTCCGGGCATGGCACGCTTAAACCGCGCTGTAGTGGAAATGCGCCATTGGTGGTTGACTAATCACAACAGAGTTAACCAATCAGAGCAGACTGGGTTCTATAGGGCCCCTTTAAATCAGAATCTTTAGCATAATACAGAGCTTTTTCAAGTCACTCATTAGGATATTCACATAAGGATAATGGAAATTTAGCACAATAAATAGTGAATGGTAGTAACTTTCTTGCAACAAGCAGGAGCATAATGTTCCATTCACTTGCATAGAGCAACTGTTCCCACTGGCAAACAATCAGCCCGTACACATAATTGCACTGACAGACAACAGAAACCAGCAGACTCTACTGACTGGAGTTTTAATGGATTTGACATCACTTTTATTTGCGTCTGTGAATGCCTATATGGCAGGCAGAGCATTAGGTTTAGGGGTCTGTGCACACACCCTGGAGAGGAGTGTAGTCAGCATCTACTGAGCAGGAAACAATGACATCAGAGTGGGAGAGGAGGAGAGTTGGGGGAGGGTAGTGTGCTAGGGAGAGAGAGAGTAAGAAATGCATTGCATGTATTCCAGCAGGCTCACTAGGTACGAATGGAAACAGATTTTAAAAGTCCATCCTGCTCTTTTCTCCTCACTCTCACTGAGCATGTGGACATCTGACACATAACCAATGTCTGGGTATCACATTAGTTTCCTATTATGGGCTCCTGAGTCACATATTTGTGTCTTGTATTTGTCCTTTAATCTCATCTGAAACCACATCAAAGAACGCCAACACAAGCACAGACCATAAACTATGAGCAGATATGAAAAATCGCTTATGGAAGTGTGGTTTCGACACAGATAAGTGATACAAAAAAATCATATTGAAATATTTGTCCATCCTGTGTGCTGTGATTCAGCAAGTCCACCACAGCCCAGTCATCTGGCAGCATGGGACCGGAGCCACGGCTCTGATTAGGCACAGATGTAGAAGCATGCAGCAGCACTGAAATGCCTTTGGAGGCATCCCAAATTCATTGACCCATGACCAAAATGCCCCTCTCTATGATTGGTTGCTAATATCTCAACATTTCACTGCAGTGGCCCTGTATTGTGGTAAAACAATGGAGGAAAATGTATTATAATTTCTGCTAAATCATGCTTCAATTACGTGTTATTGAGTTTTGATTTGTTTCCCTGATGAAAGACGAAGAGCAGGCAGAAGGGCCTTGGACTGTGGCTGAGACTTTACACAGCTAGCCAGCACTGGTTCTCCGCCCCTAATGATGAAGCAGCAGAGAATCGTATGAGATTCACTTGAAACTAAACAACCAAATAAGGA